GTTTCTATTCTATTCCCCCAAACAAACAGCGACAGCAACAGCAACGACAACAACAATAACAACAGCAGCAACAACAACGGGCAACAGGTGATTCGCCTAAATGTTGCACGAAATGCGCAAAAACAAATTCGCGGAAAATCGAAAATGCTGCAACATTTGCATTGGCATTAACATAATCGACTAACAGATACCAATTAATTGAAACTATTAGTTATTATTATTAATATTTATTATTATTTATTATTATTATTATTTATTATTATTAATACTTTGTATGGTAAATTTAATAGTGTTTTAAGTATAATATTTTAATATCTTGACTAGAAATTGGTTATGTTCCATTCGAAAATAGCCGAATATTTTGATGGCACTCAGAGTTTGGTGCCTTAGCATTTATCTCTATCATTTCATTTATCTGTTACTTCATAAACTCAATTATATTTGCTTGGAAAATTCTCTGCTTACTGTGGTCAACTTATTGGCAATATTTATGAACCGCATTCATGTCCTCCATTTGACCTCGATGACAAAATTATAAAGTAATAAATTATTAAGACTTTATAACTTCAATCTTTTTTCTATAAGCTAGCAATAATTTTTTGGTTTTTCTGCCTCATATGGCACAATCATGAAAAGCCCTCATTTGGCAGTATGCTCAAGCTCATATTACACAGTAGAAAAGGCTCGGTAGTATCTTATGGCCAGCACATAACCTGGACGCCTCAGTCATCTGCCTTCTGGGGAGGTGTCACGCAGAGATTGTTATGTGTGATATGCCAAAGTGGAACCTACAACTCAATTTATGAGCAATCTATATTTTATTTATAATTTCTTAGCCATATTTAGGAAGAAATATAAAACTATTAATTCCTATGATTAGGAAATGTGTGCAGGGTGCTATAAATAAATGATCATAATTATATATGAGCTTATTATTATCTTAGGGCCCAATTCCACCAAACCTAACCAATTGTTAAGCTAACTAATATATATTATTATAAATAAGAAAAAATAACTAACACTTTCGAAAATTTATTTAAATACAGTGGCAGATTTGAGTTAGCTTTCTGGATTTCTTCTTTCTTTTTTTTTTATATCTCAAAAATATAATTAAATTATAAACTAATTCTTAATAATTAGGAATACTTTATTTAAACAGTCAGAGCTCTAGTCTAGAAATGACTTTAGCTTATATTATATATATTTTCAACTGTTAGATAAAAAAAATTTGATCAATTGTTATTAATCATAGGAATATTGTCTGTCTACTATCTCCACACTTTCCATTTACTATAGGGTATGCAAAAATTTTTAAATGCTTCAAAGCGGCTGGCGCAGAATTTTGGTCTGTTCTTTTAAATGTTAATTTGTGCAGCATCGCAACAATTCAATAATCAATAGCAACAACAACAATAACAACACCAACAACAGCAGCAACCACAATGCCGTCTTCAAAATGTCATCAGCAACATATTTTAGCCGAAAATTTGTTAACGATAGTTTTTTTTCTATTTTATATTTTGGAAGCTGTCTGGCTCACAGCTGCTCTGCTTTTGGCTTTTTGTTGTTAGCTTCCGTTTTAGCCTGAAGTACATCACGTTATTAATTACGGGACTCTCGCATTGTACACTTCAAGTTGTTGGCAAGTTTTCGAGCTGGCAGCGTCGCCGTCATCGTCTTTGGACTTGACAAACGATCGACTTTTTGAGAAACTGCAACTTTTCGAGCAGCGCTGACAAAGTTTCTGTATTTTGGGGGGGAACAAATGTTGCCCAAGCGTAAATTCATGTCAAGTTGGTTGCTTTGTATCGAAAATGCTCATCATATTGCCTTCATTTATATATACATTCATATATATGTATATAAATTGTATTTATTTTTATTTTGTGAAATGCCATTTGCTCTAATTACATTTTAAATAATCTTTTCGTAATCGCAGCTACCACAAAATGCACTCCAGCTAACATTTTGGAGTGATGCTACATGAAATTTCATAGCCCTTGAAAACATGGGTCAAGTTTGGGATTGCGACTGGACCAGATCTACATATAAGTGCGTGTGTGTGTATGTTACTTTGTTATTGTTAACGGGTATTATGTTGTTATGACAGTTTGACAGTCATGCACAATACCAAAAGAAAAAAAAAAAAGAGCTCAAGTGCCACGGAAATCGTAGCAGCAGCAGCCAAAACTATAAATATCTTATACCATTTACATTGTGTATGTGAGACATTGCTCAAACAGCAGTAGAAGTGGGTCTATTGAGTATGTGAAAGAGCCTGTCATCTGGTAGTTAGGTCAGTTATGTCTTTGATCTTGAATTGCCACGGTAATGGGCCGTTTGATTTTGATTGTAGGCAAAGGGCTTTATTGCGGCATTCAACAGATCATCTATCGATATCATTTTGAAAGCGTAATATTTTTTAATTGTGCTCAAATATTTATTTAAAGCAATTGAAGTAAAATTTGTTCAATGTGCGGACATGTAAAATAATATTAGGTAAATAATTAAAATAAATAAAAAAGAAAAATAATATAGAGAACAAAGTAATAAAAAAAAAAATTAATACTATATATAATATTATATCATCATATATAATATTACGGATTTATAGCCTAAATATTTATTTATTTTATCTGTCCATTTTTTATTTTTATTTATTTTTTATTTTTGTTTTGCATTAAGAATAAATGAAAAACTCTATAAAAATCTATTTCTATTGATTTTTCAAGCTAAAAAAAAATACAAAAACAAATAAAGAAATCGAATATATTCAACTTAATTCATACTGAGCTGCTATACAGAATATAATTATAAAATAATATAATATATGTATGTATATATTAGTTTATATTAATCTAATAAGTAAAAAATATATTTAAATACTAATTAAAACTATGTCAATAAATAAAAACAATATTTGTTATTTGTAATTATTAATTTTATTTATTCATTTTTTATTTATTTATTTTGTACAAGACATACTGTATAATATTGGAAATTAATGGAAACCCAATCGCAATCTTAAAACTTCATTCTCCCTTCTTTGTTTACTTAATTAAATACTCTCGATAAAAATAACCATAATAACAAATGTAACATAAAATTAATTATTCAAAAGTCTTTATTTAAATATATTATCATTAGTCACAACAAACCAAGATATTCAAATAAATGCAATAAATAACAGAAGAAATTGGCCCAAGTGAATCCAAAGATATGTTTGTTCATTGATTTATCATTTATAAATTAAGCAATAATTAAACTCTCCTCATAATTTTAGTTTTTAATGCACAACTTTAATGCATCATCATCATATATCATACTCGATAAGCAACAATTTCCTTAACGCACATCATTAGCATTCATGCATGATAAACGTCATTATTGAAGATAATCCACATTAATTTAGTCAGCTCATCAAATCGCACCTCAAGTCGTAAAAATGTGTTAAAGTTGAGTCTGCCTTACAGCAATTATGTGTTTTATTTAGTGCATGCAGTCTTCGACTACCCAAACTCTTCCCTAATAACTATTTTCATATATTTAAAACACAAGCACACACACACATTCATACAGACCATAAGTGGGCAATAAAATTATAACAGCCGCAGAAATCAGCAATCAAAAGTGAATTGCTTATAATTGCTATTTAATCTCTGGCACATCAAAATGATTTCATTTCATTTCATTTTTTTTTTTCGGTTTTGCCTGAACGATCAAGGTTATTTGGTATTTGAAGAAGTTCGTCTCTTTTTGGTAAGGAAGAGGAAGTATCTAACGCTGGCTGCAGACTGAAACCCTTTTTGCAACACGTGTCGCCAGATAGCAGCTTCGTGTGGCTCTGGCAAATAGATAACTTATGATTTTTAGCATGAGCCTCACGTCATAGATTGAATTTTGACATCAAGCATGAGGCACAGCATGCCTGCTGCGGTTACTAGTTGCAAATATCTATCTGTCTCTGTCCCTCTTTGTCTATATGTGTAGGTATACATATATATAATATATATCTATACCTTTGTGTATGTAACTTACGTGAACACGTTCACAGCTTGTGCAATTTTCACTCGTTGCTTTTGTCACGTTTTGGCGTTGGCAACTAGTTGTTGTTCTTGGTGTTCTCGGCATTCTCTCAGGCTTTCTCAAAGGGCAGACCGCCCAGCAGCGTCGGCATGGCAAAACTATCTATCGCCCAAGCGTTCATCTGACATTCGCAGTGACATTTTCGTGGAGGAGGAGGCGCATCCCAGCCTTAGCTCCAGCTTCAACTGCAATCTCAGCCGCAGACTCAGGCTACCAGAGCCAGAACTTGAAAGTCAGTTATAAAAAACTTAAATATCAAATTTTGTGCATTTAATGAAGTCATTGCGGGCGTTTCTACAAAACGCTGCCTCAGGCTGTCTCTAATTCCTCCGACTGGCAGCAGCATTTAATAAAATACAAAATTCAAGCAACTTGTTATACATCCGCCAAGCTACAACTTGTTCGAATGATCATCGCCAATTCATTTATCATCAGCAATCATCATCATCATCATCACCAGCAGCAGCAGTAGAAGCAGCAGCAACGGCAACAGCAGCAACTACAACAACTATTGTTGCTGCCGTCGATGATCTGCAACATTTTTCACTTCAACACTCAACAGCAAACGCTCTCCGCGTTGAGCAGCAAAGAGCAAACTGCTCCCCACACTCATTCTCTAAGAAACAGAGAGAGAGAGAGCGCAAGATGAGATTGTTGGCGCTACGAAGATGATCTAGAAGTTCAGCGCTTTGAACCTGCCTCAATTGTTGTATATCTGTGTACAACAACATTTGTTTCGTTACTTTTTGTTGTTGTTGTTGCTTTATTTTGGGTGCAGTTGGCAACGCGGCGTCGCTGCCGCTGCCGCTGCGACAGCCTCAGTCGCCGTCACAGCCGCTGCTGGCAGCTGCGACTGCGCGTTGATTATAAAAAGCAAGCGCATCTCCATTGTCTACCCTAATTCAAAACGTTCGTGTACTTTGTGCGGTACTTGTGCTGCCTGGCATAGAAAAAAGCAACAACAACAATTGCATAACAATAGCCAAGCTTAAGCTAGTGGCCCAGTTGAAAGTGAGAATCGTTCAATTTCAGTTTCAATTACAAGTGTTGCAAAAGGACATTTCAAGTGTGTTTTGTGTGTTGAAATCGAGTGTTGAAAACTTAACAAAGAATCAAGAACGATCACCTACAAATTTAAATGAATATATTTGTAATTGAGTGAATCTTAAAAATAATTCAAATTTAAGCCTTTTGTTTTTAGCTTTGGTTTTTGTTTAATTGCTTCAATTTATTTACCATTCATTTAGCGCGGATTAAACTAAACATTAATTCCAAGTGAAGCCTCGCCATTTAGATACAACATTTTCTTCAATATGATGTCCTTTAAATCGTTTTTGTTGCTTGTAAGTATATTTATATTTATAAAAAAAAAAAAAACAAGCAAATAAATTTTTGAATTATAAATAAAAATAAAAGAATATATATTTAAAAATATAAACAGATAAATTTACATACAAAAATATCAAAGTTTGTTTTAAAATTAAATATTAATTAATATAACAAGTTTTCGTAATACAAAATCGTATTCATTTAAAAATTTTAAATATTATATTATATATTAATATAATAATATATTAATATATTATATTACTAAAAATAATATTATTATAATTATTAAAAAAAATTTAATTTAAGAAATTAAAAAAAACTGGTTGCAGAATAAAACTTCAGATCTAATTAAAATATTTTAATTAAATTATTTATAATATTTAAATATTATAACAAAAAATAATAATAATTTTCAAATATGTTATTCAAGACAAAATATTTGAGCAGAACAAAAATAGAAACATTCTATCTTCTAACACAAAGATTTTCCCTATAACATGCATCAAAGTTGCATATTGACTTTAAGTATTTATGGCTGCGTTGCAATATCATATGATTTCATGATTTGATGTAGGCGTAGTCGGGCTGTAGTTTCCTTGACTCCGCAGTCTAAACTGTGATTTTTCGGTATACAAATCCTAAGCCTACATAAATCAGCAGCAAACAAATCATTTGAGCTTTTTGAAGCTTCCAGCGCATGAACAAATGCTGGAACACTGGAACAGTAGCCCGCACAGAGAACAACAAGTTAAGCTTGTTATATGTCAAATTTGTTTATAAGGATGTGTTGCCTGGACAGGACACACACACACACAGAGACAGCCATTTGCGTGTGTGTGTGTGAGTGTGGGGGCCTGATGGACGCATGCTCTGAACTCTGCTGTCCGTTGTCATTTTTCTTTTTATGGTCGGAGGGGGACTAGGTGGGAGTTGGGGAGGATAGTCGCTGAGCTTAGCTCAGTTTTTATCATGCGGTCTGCCACTGATGCATACATATGTGAGGTGGATTTGCTTTTGATTGCATGCTCAAACTTTGTTAGCTGCTCATAATTTAAATCTGTAGCAGGAAAAACAAATAAAATCGAGAGGCGAAGAGCGAAGAGCGAAGAGCGAAGAGCAAATCCAAGCTGTTTGCCCAACTACTGAAACTAGTCGAGTGCCTGGCAAACACATGCACTCGCACACCCACACACACACACACGAACACAATTTGGCAACACTTGGCGTCAATGGTAACAAAAACGATTACATAACTTCGATATCGAGTGAACTGGCTGTCAGGCAGCCTGAAGTGGCAAAGCGAAAGTCCCAAATCGAACAAATTACAAATAATCAAAGACACTTAAGTGCTGTGCGTAATATATGTCAGAAAGGCTCAGAAGTACACTCACCCAGGCACGCCCACACACACACATACACACACACACACACACTCGCATACACATGCTATACTCGAGCATACTTTAGGGGGATTTGGTTATGGGAACAGTTTTTGTCTCATCTGGCAGCAGCTGTTGGTTTTAGCTAAAATACGAGTACACCCAAATCAGCAGCAATAATATTTGATTATTTTCAACAACTGCCAGCTAAACACTTGGCTTTGCCATGCACGCGAGGGTTTCCGCAAATAAATGGAATACACAGGAAATTCCCATTCACGTGCCAAGTGTCCTTATGGCTGATGGGCAAAAAAGAATTGATATGTGCTTAGCCTGAATGGTAATTGTTGTTGTACAAAAACATGGGAGTCTAAATATTTCAGGCTGAAAATAGGAGAAAAAAATTAAATTAAATAAAAAATATTAATAATAGAAACAATAATAGTATTAATAAAGGAAGTAATAATTATTTTTTTAAAATATATAAATTAAAAACCTTAAAAAAAATTAAATAATAATTTAAAAAATACAAACAAAGTAATAAAAATTAAATAAAAAAACTAATAATAAATTTTAAAATAAAATTAAATAAATAACTAGCATTTTCATAAACATATATATTTTGTATGTTTAATTTAAAGTTTATAAATGTTTCAAGAGAGCGAAAAATAAAAATATACAAGTTAAAGGATTTCTAATTCTTTTTATTGAAATTTAACCTAATTCAAACAAAATAATAATACAAAATATATCTTAATAAATGCTACAAATATTTCTTTTTTAATACGCTCCAAACATCACTTAAATCAGTAATTAAATAAAATTTTTTTTTAATGATAAAAAGTTTATTAGCAAAAACCCTAATGAAAATTTCTATATGACGAAGAAATAGTTTTCAAATGATAAATGTAATTATAATATATGGTTTTCATTTAAAAAGTTGTTTAATTATAATTATAAAAGAATTTAGCTATTAAATTAAACTGAAAACGAGTTGACTACAGCTTTTCAAATAACGACTCCACAATTTAGTTGGTTTTTCTAGCCCTTTGCGGTGGAGTCCACCCAAACTTTCACTTGTTGCCATTAAAGTGCAAGCCCTTTGCATATATGTATGTATGTGTGTGTGTGTGTATGCGTTTGTGTATGATGCCGTAAAGCAGGCAACAAATAAAGCAGACTTAACTGCAACATGAGGCAGAGGCTAACGCAAAGGTGCCACATGGAGGGAAAAAGGGGCGTGCTAAATTGTTGGTGCGACACTTGGATGGCATGCAGACGACTCCGTCTGCCTCCGCCACTGCCTCAGCCATGTCTGGCTGTGTTTTTTTTAATGCCTGGCCTGCCAAGCAGATAACTGCCAAAGGTACCACAGACAGCCAAAGGAACAGGAGCACGGGCCGGGCCAGCCGCTTGCCAGACGCGTGTAATTTGCCGCTTGTAACTTTTTGACTTTTCGCTGGCGTTTTCTCTTCTTATTTTTTCCGTTTTTGGTTATTCTTATAATTCTGTTTTTTTCTTTTTTTGTTGGTTTTTGGTTGGCGTGGTAGACACGCCCAAATGTAGACTATGCCTGCCCATGGGACACTGCGGGTCAGAGCTGAACCTTTGGGGAGCACTCGAACAGGCATGCAAAAACAGATCATGAAACAGAAGGGCAAAAACTCGCAGCTAGACAATCGCTAGACAGAACCAGACCCAGACCCAGACCCAGAACCAGTCAGAGTCAGAGCCAGAGCCAGAGCCAGAGCTGGCTGCCAAACGTGTTCAACATGTTCATTTCGTTTCTCTGCCTGGCAAAAACAATGTCGACGCGAACCCAGAGCCCAGCTCGACTGCGCTACTGGGCGCATATTTTAATATTTCCCGTTTCAGCTGCTCATTTTCACACGCCAAAAACAAAAAAGAAAAAGCAGAAGAGAACGAAAAAGCATAGCACAGAACGTTCGTCATAAACCCCGAAAATGATGGCAGTCAAACGCATCCGCCGCTCGGCACGCTTTTGAATTTCAAATGACAGACATAAAATATGCATCGCTTGATATTTGGCTGATGATTTCGTTGATGAAGCCAGGGCAGGCTGCATAGCAGATTCCCAATAAGCAGCAGCTGCTGCTGCTGCTGCTGCTGTTGCTATTGCATGTGCCCGGAATCTGTGTAATTTTCCAATGCAAGCCAGCCAGGCGCAACGTCAAAGCCTCATAGGTCAATGCTGGCTTTGATTAGACGACTGATTATTGCCATAGAGCCATGCAGAAACAGCCACAGCCACAGCCAGAGCCACAGTCGCATTCGCAGTCAGAGGCTGATGCCGATTGAAGTGTGAACAATTGCCCAATTGTGCGCCAAATGCATCTCAAGCATTGCAATACCCTAACCAAAACAAAGACCTTTGTCATGGGCCAGCAAAAATATTATTTATATTAAAAAAAATAGACATATATGTTAAATTAAAATTTGGTCTTCATTTCACCTCTCTTCTAACTATTCACATTCTCATCATCAATATATAATATCTATGGAATAGATTTATTTATATGCCTGACTCTGTTTCCTTATAACTCATAAATTTGTTAGTGCGTTCACAATTCGGTACTGAAGGGTGTATTAGCATTTCATTCGATTCTTGTTGCATTACAAATTTGATTTTAATTGAAATGATTTGCGAGATTTCATTAGCTGTTTGCTGTGGCTGAGATTGACGTAATTGAGCTGCGGGTCAGACGTATCCTCAGTGCATGCGAGAGCCAACAAATAAAAGTCATAATAATGATAATGATAATAATAATAACAATTGCTGCGGTTAACTAGAAACAAGAAGAAGAAGAAGAAGAAGTAGAAATATGCACACAAATATTTTGCCTTTAGTCAAGGCAATTTTCCAGAGTTGGGGATAATGCGACGACTGCAATTGTTAGCTGCGGTTTTGATTGTCTCTGGCAAATGTTGCACACATTAAAAAAAAAAACTAAAATGAATGAAAAAAAAGAATTGTAATGTTGTTTGAATGCAGCTTCTGCTTTGTCGAAACCATCTCGCTTGTCTGTGTGTATGTGTGTCTGTGTATGTGTGTCTGTGTATGTGTGTGTGGTAATCTAATTAAATCGAAATTTCAGCTGATTACAAAAGCCAGTAAGCAGCATGCAGAACGGCAGCAGCAGCAGCAGCAGCCGCCTTCGCGGTGGCTAATTGCCAAACGTTGAACGTGGCGTATGCGCAATGTGGCCATAAGGCTGCTGAGAGCGCTGAGCGCTGAAAGGCATTTTTAATTGCATAGCTCGGCTTTTGTGCTTCAATTGCTGGCATTTCTAAGCTTGGCCAACAGCAGCAGCTGCTGCAGCTGCCTAAAAATTAGTTCAATGGGCTTGTGGACCACAAAGAAATTGTTCAAATGCTAAGCCAAATACTTAGCAATAACCGTTCATAGTTTGGCTTCACTTCAATTAGTTCTACTCAATTTTTATTTCAGCTCTTGCCCAAGAGTTTTTCGATTCACAATTTCGCCCGCTTTCACCCAATTTCTTGCCATCCGTGCAACTATCGCAATCGGCAGTTGCTGTGGCTTCCAAGCCGCCCACAACGATTTTATTGATTCTTAAACACGTTTTCGACTCGCCTTCAGCAACTACTTGAGA